CATGCCAAAGATCATTTTCTTCCTGCCAAATATCCTCACTTTCCTCCATGCAAGATTGCTGTTGCTCTCCCAGTTTGTCAGCCTCCCTCACATGCCCTGTTTGCTTGTTGTGGTTATGTAGAGCACGGCTTGCTAGGATAATGTCGCACAGTCTGCAGGACTGTATTGCAAGTTCCTCCTCAGACTGATCCAAGCCTTGGAAACTCCTCTTCAGCAGGTCTATCATCTGCTCCACCTTGGGCCTGGTTGTAAAATGGGCTGCTGACTTTCGGCTTCAGTCAGCAGATTGTGTAGTGGAATCATGAGCCATGGTTACAGAGGGTGGCCCTTGTCTCCCAGTGATTGGCCTTGCAAAACATCTGGCTGCTGAAACACAGCAGTAACAGAAGTGTTCTCAAGGATATAGACATGGTGACCACTCTCAGCGTTTGGGACAGAAACCTCTTAGAAGTGGTACAGATGATCACAGATCACTTAAAGACATGGAATGTAACCCTTTTCTGTTGATGAACTCAGCTGCATTGTGAAATGGCCTCCCAACGTGATGGATATCTATCATGCACTACACTTGGAGGAAGCCAACTGTGTTGCTGAAGCCTACTGCCTGGTTTGCAGCCCTGACCTAGGCACAAATGGCATCTACAATGGTCTTAATATAATTGTGGATAGACAGTTGTGAGATCCCACACTGGTGCCCAGTGGCTCCTAGGAAATAACTGGTTGCATAAAAGTTCAACACTGCTGTCACCTTGCCAGCCACCAGGATAGGATGGTCACTCACTCCTTCAGGTTGCAGGTCCTACTTCAGCATAGTTTGGTGAGTATGTCCTGGTACACTCTCAGTCTGCAGAAAGTCTGCACCTTGCTCATCTGGAGGAAATGACAAAAGAGATGATACACTCTGAACTTCGGTAACTCCTGCACACGCTGAGGGGAGTTTTAGCGGAAACTACGTCATGTGAAGACTGCTCAGCAGCTGCTGGAGGTCGCTGTTGGTGCTGAGCTTGCAGGCATATTGCTCTTCCTTCATTTCTCTGCACCTTCATTGCACCAAAGCAGCAGCGATGGTAACCCATGCAGTAGCTGGATCCATCAGTCAGGCATGCAATGAACTTGCGTGGGGAGCAAAAGAAACAGAACAGCTCCTTAGTAATGTGAGCAGTCAGCATTCACATCACTCACAAATACTTTTAGCATATACCTCCAGACTGTGGAACATGGAACACTCTAACAGGAGGGTCATGGAATGCCTTTACATGGTTCTCTGACATTGAAAATTATTCCAATGATTGCATCAGCAGCCATGTTGCAGTAGGAGATTGTAAATGCTGAATTAGTGCTGAGTTCTTCTCCTCCCAGCTCCACATCACCCAAGGAAGCCATCATTGTATCTAAGAATGTATTGCATTATATTTGCAATTCAAGGTGATAGGAAATCAGTTTGTGCCCCTTTGCAGCCTATGAAGTCTTGCATTAGCTTTGTGTTTTGTGGCTGGGGGTCCTGAGATTATGTACTTCACGGGGATAACTATTTTTAATCTGCAGTGACCAACGATGTGGTCAAGATTGCTTTTAACCAGCATTTGTACCCCACACAGTTGTACACTGCAAACAATTCACACGCACGATGATATGATTAGCATGGCTGTCTCACAGCGCCAGGGACCTGGGTTCGATTCCACCCTCGGGCGACTGTCTGTGTGGAGTTCACACATTCTCCCTGTGTCTGTGTGGGTTTCCTCCAGGTGCTCCGGTTTCCTCCCACAGTCCAAAGATGTGCAGGCTAGGTGGATTGGCCATGCTAAATTGCCTGTAGTGTTCAGGGATGTGTAGTTTAGGTGGATTATAGGGGGATGGATCTGTGTGGGATGCTTCAAGGGTCAATGAGGACCTGTTGGGCTGAAAGGCCTGTTTCCACACTGTAGGGATTCTATGATCTTCTATGATCTAAAACATTTCAACCTGTACTCTGCAAGTACAATGATTGGTACTATTGCCCCATGAGAAACCTCTTTGTCCATCAGAAATGAAAGCTACAGTTGGGACAGTAAACAAACACTGTCTCGGCCCACTGTGGGTGTGATCACTGCCATTTTCCATTTGTTACTCACATTTAGGAGTTGAGGCAATGCAGGTCAAGTTCAACCTGGTAATCAAGAGGCCCTCCCATCAGACCTCATGCCCCTTTCTACCTGGAACTCCCTAGACAGCCCATCAGTACTGATGCCCCACCTAATCACCACCTAGATTTATAACTGCAACTCTCATCCTTAACCCCCAAGCCCCGAATCTAAAATTTTGTCCTGCACACCATCATGATGCAAACTCCTCCACTGAGGCAACACAAGTCCTCCCATACTTTGCTGTCTCCCTTGCTTAAACATCAAATTGCCCCCTTTCACCATTCGTTGTCCCTTGTACAGTCCATTTTGTTGTTGCCAATGCCTAGCCCTGTGTCCCCCAACTTGCCTAGCACAGCAGTGTGCACTTGTAAGAACCCCTTGATTTTTCATTCAGCTGAATCCCCAGACAGACGATGGCTCACTGCTCTGACCGATTTGGATGGACAGTCCCCACTTATTACTGACCACATCCCTGACTGGTCTGTCTCTAGCTCTCCAACTGCAAATACTCTGACTGCTGGCGCTGAGCCTGCATGCCTGGCCGTGACCCACTCCCCAGGCTGTAATAAGGCGGACCCCCTGATCCTGACCACCCCAAGTGGATGGCTTACTATCCCTAAGCCCTTGCACTGATCACAGACTGTGCTTTGACAGACAGTGCTGCGAAGACCCACCTGGCAGCAGCCCCCAGTGACTTGACTGATGACAAGTCCTGTCATCTTTAGGACATGATCATTTGGTTGAAACACATGTGGTGTGCTTGCTGCGTCAGCTATTGGTGTGTGCTCTAGGTGTGAGATTGATGCAGCACAGTGCATGACAGCAACATGTTCACCCTCTCAACTGATGACTGTTGACAGCCGTGGCAGGTTGTGTGGCTTTGTGTTTGAAGGACAGTGAGCCTTTCTGAAGCAGCTGAGGGGGGCAGCATGCCAACAGACAAGACAAACCTGGTGCTATTAGTAAAGTGGGCACAAAGTGTGTGAGCATTAAGAGGGTGGATAAGCAGCCCTGAAATATACCTTGATCCACAACATGAGCAGGTTTCTTATACCTGCACACATAGGTGTCCTGGTAGGAGCACTGCAAGAAAGATGCCTGTGTACTCAAAACAGTAGCATTGAAGTACAGCAGCATGCTGAATATGGATCAGAGATGTACCACAACGATGTAGCTGATACATGTTGGATGCCAAGGTCCATGGATGTGGAATGTGCATGTCTGCTGCCCATTGAGCGTGCCCAAAGATGTTGATGCCAGGTGTCCAAGGTGGAGGTCTGGAGGAGCAAATGGCCCTGCATGGATAAGAGATCAGGTCAGGTCGACACGAGGTCAGGTCCAATGATGTATAAAGTTCAGGTAGGTGTGCTGGTCCTGAACATGCAATGTGGACCATATGAAAGCTGCAAATCTGCAAATGGGGTGGGAGCAAAATGTGCCCGGCTCCTTGGAACAGTTGGAAAGGCTGTCAGAGCCCATGGTTTCTCCCTCTCCATTAAGCATCAAAGAGACCGCGGAATCTGAGATGGATGTGGCAGATGTCACTGCCTCGAAACCTTCGCTGCCAGAAGAAGGAAATAAATTTTTTTCCCAGATGCTCCAGGCTCAAGAGGCGAGCTACTGTGTGTTACAAGTTACCTGTATCTGAGGCAGAGTCAGAGGAACCTGACCTGGTGCTAGATCACCCCAGGAAGAGCTACAAGTAAAAGAACAGGCCTATGTCCTCAAACTCAGAAGGGGAGGGTGTAATGATTGTGATGAGGTCAGCCAGGTGGACCTCACGGAATATGAGTTCCCTGATTGGGGCTGTTAATCTGGTCCAATCAGGGAGCCCTGACTGACAGATAAAAATAGGAGTTTCAGACATCCTGATACTCTGAAAGCTGGCTCTGAGGAGCTGAATCAGTGTCAATGACTTTCCACGTGTAAATAAAGGATGACTTGGTGTCAGCCTACTGGCTTCTCTGCAGTTACTTCAGACACCATTAAACAGGGATCAACAGATTAAATTTAGGGTCTGCTCCAACTAAACTCAGCCAATGTGTGGCAATTTTTGTCCGAGGTGATGGTTCTGAATGGGTTAATATTCATGTTACATTGGGTCCACCCATTCTACTGAGAAAAGGAGTTTTATTTGAGCTTTTGGAAGGAGCAGGTGCATCTGACAGCTCTCTAAGATCCTTCTATTTATGTCTGACCAAACGTATGTGTACTTATTGCTATCTTAGAACAGTTTCTGTTTTGTAGACACTTTGCAGTGGCATGTTCTCACTAATCACTAGATAAGGCCAAGTCTAAGCAAAGACAGTGGAGGATTGATGGCAGTGAATTACCTCAAACAATGCTTCCTAGTACACCACAAGCAACAAGAAGTGGGCCATCTGCAAAATAGTATCGTGACAATGTTATCATTATCTTACTATGTCAAGTTTTGAGAGGGAGGAAAAACAGCCAAATTGCTACAGCAATTCTTCAAAATGTTTGTGTGTAAATTCCAGGTAAGTAGAGGATCACCACAGCAGTCAAATGTCCTGCTAACACACTTTTCTGGGGTTTTTACAAGAACGGTATTGTTTCAGGAGAGAAGGAAATAAAATGGTTTATGCCATTAAGAAACAAGGCAACACTGCAGTGTCTGGGAATCAAAACACACTCATCTAAATAATTGGAAGAGTGCAATTTCCCAACTGCAAACTTAGGTACTAATATAAACATTTCTGGCATTCACAAGTTGTTTGGTAACCACAAAGATTTGTGTGCTTTTTTTTTAACTGAGACATAAACAACATGAAAACAAGCCCAATAGAATATAACATAATTGCTACTAATAGAGTGTAACGTAACTTCAAGCTAATATTTTCGACCTCTTTATCGTAGCTGCCAACTGAACTACAGAACCTTCCCACGGCTAAAGCAGAAAAGTTAAAGAAGGAAGACCCAGCTGAGTACCTTAACAGAAGCCATCTTGATGAACCTAGCAGCATCAACTCCCTGACCTATACGTACCCAGAACATAAACCATTAAAAACAGAACTGCTGGGGAATGTTAGTGTTGGTGCTAAGGTAAGGAAAGTGGTTTCTTCTCTTGTGCCAAACTTGGGTTTATGTGCTGTAACATCTTTTTCTGTATCGTAAACTGAGAGTAATTGACAGTTATTAATTTCATTAAGCACACAGAAAGATCCCAGATATAGCCTTGAAAGGAATGCCCAACTAAATTTAGTTTTGGTGGTGGTTGAAAGAGGAAGATTGACTAGGATTATAGAAGAAAAATTGCATAATCTGTTTAATATATATTTGAACTGAGAAACCAGGTATGAATTTCAGATCTCCTGGAAAGGCATACTCTGTCAGTATTGTATTCACATGTTGCCTTAAGTTACATTAAAGTCCTAGAATGGAGTTGAATTTACAACCTTGAGAGCAAATAAGCTAATTTGACATTTTTAACTGATTGAGGTGCTTTACTTATCGGTGAGGTGCCTTTTTCATACATTTGGGTAAATCTAGCAATTGTATCTGCCTGTAGATAATGCATTAAAAGTATATGTTATGTCATGCATATGTTATTGCTTCATTGAGAATGAATCTCCTCATAGAATGACAGCTGTTTCTTGTCATCATTCTCTGCTCTTCAATTCAGACATCTCAACCCTTCAACTCCACGGTCAATGTTCTTGATTAAGAACTCCATAACCTTGCCAACTAAATACGTGGAAACACTCTTTGCAGTGTATCATTAGCCATTGAGGAAAGCCATAAATGTGCTGCACAGAGTGCACTATCCTACGTGCTTTTCTTCCTGATTCTGCCCTCACTATGCTGAGATAAAGCCTGTTTCCACTGTCTTGTGTGCTAGTATATTCTTTTCATGACCAAAGGTCCTACATGCTTGGCATCCTAGGGGTCTCTGACCTACCTCAGCAGCTGCCAAAGCTGAAGCTTCATGGGTGCCAGCATTCTGATTCAGCCTGCACCTTTGGGACCTTATGGTTAGTTAGCACAGACATGGCTATTTAGAAGATAGCTTCCGATAAGATTGCATCATTGTTCTTATTGTCTGTGAAATTCCAGCCCATATTATCAGTTTGAATCCTAGTAAGAAATGCTTCATGCTTTAAAGCTGTCATGTTACTAAAACATTACCTTTGTCATTTACGTATTCCAAGACATCCATTGCATTAAAGTTAATAATTTTGGACCACTGGGATAATCTATTTATGTGGAACACGCTTTACTCTGTTCTTTAAGTCAATACTCTACCCTGTGCATCGTAATACTGTTTTAGGTTACCACAGGCTGTGGTTGTCTGCACATACACTGCCTTTGGTGTTGTTTGCTGCTTATTTCCAAGAAAGGCCCTTCCACACCTTATGTAATGTAATACTTACTTATTTAAATCTGTACATAGTAGGTTCTCAAATATAGCTCTTTAGTGTATTGTTTAAGACTGTTCCCTTCACTTGCTCCTTCTAAACTCTGGTGATTCTCTATTGTTGATGTCAGAGAAGTGTCAAACAAGCAACTTAAAAAGTTAATACAGTCATCACTTATCATGATGAGAATTGAAAGCCAAAGAAATGAGGTGTTGCTTCCATTATGCAGGTCACTGGTGAAACTGCAGCTGGAGTAATGTGAACAATATTGGTCACCTTGCCCTTTTTAAAAAAAATGTGAATGTGTTAGAGGCAGTTCAGAGAAAGTTTACCAAACTGATGCCTGGGATGAAAGGGTCTGTCTTCTGAGGAAAGGTTATATCTGCTGGACTTTAGAAGAGTAAGGGGCAACTTGATTGAGACATATAAGATCTGGAGAGGTCTTGACAGGGTTGATGTGGAGAAAATGTTTCCTCCCATGGAAGAACTTAGAACTCAAGTCACTGTCTAAAAATCAGTGGTCGCTTGTTTAAAACACAGACCGGGGGGGAGATTTATTTCTCTGAAGGTCACAGGTATTTTGAATTCACTTCCTGAAAAGACAGTGGATACAGAGTTCTTGAATATTTTTAACATTGAGGTAGGTAGATTATAATTAAGTAAGTGAGTGAAAGATTCAGGGGTAGGCAGGACTTTGGATCGGAGGTGACAATTGATCAGGCATGAATGTGTTGACAGGTGGAGCAAGCTGAAGGGGCTGAATGGCATACTCCAGTTTTGATTCATATATTTGTATGTCAGATGATCTGAAATTCTGGATGTACCGATTTGATGCCCTTTTGCTCAACATGGTGTTGTCCCATGAATTGTAGCACTTTGTACTTTGTCCAATGTATTACTGGTCCATATCCTGCGATTATCATACTTTGATCTTAATCAAGCAAAGAATTAATACAATGCCTTCCTGTTCCTCTTGAATATCCTTTCATGTACTCCGACATTATAAGATCTTGGTTGATCTGTTTATTGCAGCTTTTAACTTCCTGAAAATAGATAAAAAGAGGGAAAAGTACCAGCCACAGGCACCATGACTGCATGTAGCAGCAGATTCTGCTGGTGGAGGCTGCAACAATAGTATTCCATTCAGCCTGGTCAGCGCACTTTAGGAAAGACATGAGAATCCTTGTGAGAGTGCGGAGTGCATTATTTTAGCTGAAACTTTAGGTTTAAGAAACTGCAGTTGTTATCCTTGAGGCAAAAGAGGTGAAGGTGAGATTATTTGATACAGCACAGGACCAAGGCATGTAGCATGTAGGCAAAGGAAAGTTGTCTCTATTTGCTGTTGCTACAAGGACTAGGAGAGACAGATTTAAGGTTTTAGGCAAAAACATAGGGGATTGTGAGGAGGAACCTTTTTGCACATGGAGTGGTAATGATGTGGACCTTGCTTCCATGGGGAGAGGTGTAGATGTAGAAATGATCAACGATTTTGAAAGGAAATTGGGCAATTGCAGCAAATAAGCTTGCAAGCCTATGAGGGAATGAAATTTCTTCTGTTCTGCAGAAAGCTGGCTTGAACTCAATAGGTTAAATGTCCTCCTTCAGTGCCCTAGTGATTGTAAGACTTTATGACTTCATTCTTCCACTGGTCATATTACCAAACCCTAAGAACTTAAGGGGTCAGAGTTTAATCAGACCCCAACAATTTTCAAAATGGCTACTATAATTGTAGTTTTCTAGTATTTTCATTTGACTTCCAATCTTCATTTTTAGGCAAACATTTTTTCCTGCCATGTTCTATTCTTCAGGATTAGTTGGTGGAGGATAGAACTGAAGCTGTTATTTCCACACATGGATTTATTTTCAGAATTAAATATTAGTCCTCCAAGCCCATGTTAAATCAGAATGTAGTATACTGCAGTCCCAAACAAGAATCTTAAATATAAATAAACACAATTGCAGAGTACTGATTGGAGAGCTAGCTACACTTGATGGGGTTAAATAATGTCAAAGGTCATAGAGCCATGCAGTACAGAAGAGATTCTTCAGCCGATTGAGTACGGGGATAATTAAACAGTAGATAACATTTAAATAAACCATTCAGTTTTTTTAAAAACAAAAAATTAAGTTAAAAAAAAAATTCTATTGAAAAGTAAAACAGCAAGAATTATCCATTCACGACTTGTTTAGAAATTTAAGGATAGTATTAGGAATCATTTATGTGGCAAAAATAGCAGTAAGCCCTAAGTTTGGAAGTTTTACCAGCAAAGATCCACCAAAATAGCTGATAAAAAGGAGGAAAAATAGAAATTCACCAGGGTAGTAGATTGTAAAACCCTTTTCCAAATATATTAAAAGGAAGAATTGTTTACACTAAATGTTGGTCCATTAGAGGCCAATTCGGTAGAAGGTATCATGAGAGAACAAAAAAATGACAGATATTGAACAGAAATTTCGTCTGCCTTCACAGTAGAAGACACAAATTACATACCAGACATAAATGGTAATTAAGGGGATAATAAGAATGAAGAGCTTAAGGAAATTAGTATCCTCAGAGAAAACATATGGGAAAAATTCAAGGAATTAAACACTGGCAAGTCCCTAGGACCTGATGGCCTACATTCTAAGTTTCTAAAAGACTTATGACAGATAAAGTGGTTACACTGTCTATGACTTTCTAAATTATCCAGATTCTAAAATGGTCTTAGTGATTTGGAAGCTAGCAAATGTAACAGCACTAGCCAAAGAAAGAGGGAGAGAGAATCCAGGTAGCTTCAGTTAAGTTAGTTTGACATCAGACTTTTGGAAACTGTTATAAAGGAGGTCTTAACAATGTGCTTAAAAATCATGAGTTATGATCAAAATCAACATAGGCTTTTACAAAAGAGAAATAGTGTTTGACAATTCTGTTTGTAAGCTGTGAGGGGGATACAAGGAGGTACAGACAGATAAAGTGTATTGGCAACAAGGTGGCAGATGAAATGTAATGCTGGGCCATGAGGTTATTTGCAATGGTAACAAAAATAGGCAAGCAAACTATTTTTAAAAAGATATGAAACTTCCAAATGCTGTAGTTTAGAAATCTTGGGTGGAATTGTACAGGAACATAAAATTTAACATGCAGTTGCAATTAGCAATTAAGGCAAATAGCATATGGTTTTTATTGCAAGGGAATTGGATTATGAGAATAAGGAACTTCTGCTAAATTGTACAGGATGCTAGCGAGACTACACCTTCTATTATTGTATGCAGTTTTGGTCTGCATCTATCAAGAAAGCACTGGAGGCGATATATCAAATGTTCATTAAATTGCTTCTAGGAATGTGAGTGTTGTCCTATGATAAGCTGGAGTTTAGAAGTATGAGAGGTGATACATGTAACTCTGTAGGGTAGGATAGACACTGAGGGATTGTTTCTGGAATTGGGGCACAGCCTTAAGGAAGGGTTTTAATCACTTAGGATTGAGCTGAGGAGAAATTTATTCACTCAAGCTTTTGTGAACATTTGCAATTCTCTATGCCAGAAGGTTGCAGGGGAATTCATTGCTGAATATATTCAAGGCTGAGATAAGTAGTTTTTAGTCTTCGAGGATCCCAGTGGAAACTGTGGTTGAAAGGAGCATCATCTGTAATCTTTATGAGTGGTCGAACAAATTTAACAGGCTTTATGGTTTGCTCCTGCTTCTAT